GAGAGCTCGTCCGTAGTGACTGTTTTTGATCTTCTGGATCTGGCCACTCAGCAGAATTACGAGGATTTGGGCTGGTACTGGGGAGTACCTGCAGAGAGTCCTGTGATGCGATCTGTCTTCGGGTCTCCCAGCCGTGGATACAGCACCTGCTGTGATGGAGGTGGCAGGGGAGTGAAGTGGACTCTAGGGGGTCCTTGGTTGTAGTGTTTTTAGTGCACTGGTATTCTCAAACGCAGGTATGCTACAGTGAAGTTGTCACATGGACAGACCTGGGCCCTCTGGTCAGCCAGGATGTTGCAGGTGGTGGATTTAGCTGCTGTTTTCTCCTTCCTTGGAGCGGGGTTGTTGTATTAAGATTTTCTGTAATGGCTTGCGTTGGTGGCGCTTTCAGGAGAGCAGCAGAGTGCTTTGGTTCTCCGGGAGTTTGCAGCTGTGAGCTGCTTCATCTGCAGGGTCCATGAATTATTTTGGCCTCTGGCACATTTCTGTGGTTGTTCTTGGAGCAGAAGTTCACAGCGTGAGTCACCACGTGCTGTTCTCCTTTTAAATGCTTTTATTTACTTCAGAAAAAAGGATCTGTGATAATTAATACTGCTTCTTAAAAAGATATCTGGTTGCCCCCGAGATTCCACCTCAATCCCTTAGACAGCCCTGGAGACCACCCGTGGAAGGCCACCATGTGGAAGCGGCCGTCCCTCTGCGTCTCAGGTTTCATCGGGTGCCCATGATGAGCCCCGAGTCCGCCTGTCAGTTTCTGCATTTCCATGTGGTTCTTTGCTAGGTCACGCTGGGCTCGGCGCTAGGGGGCCCCTACCTGGGAGTCCACCTGAGAAGAAAAGATTTTATCTGGGGTCACAGAGAGGATGTGCCCAGTCTAGAAGGGGCCGTGAGGAAGATCCGCAGCCTCATGAAGACTCAGCGGCTGGACAAGGTGTTTGTGGCCACAGATGCTGTCAGGAGGGGTATGGAGCTTTAATGCCTTTCGTGTCTTTTGATTCCTGGTTCGGTTCTGGGTAGAGCTAGGCCTACATGATCTTCAGCTGAGATTCCTGGGAGGGTGAAGCTGAATGTGTGTCTGCACCTTTTGAGCCACTTCATAACGAATTAACAAGAGGCCAAGTCTTTCCGCTAAAGGGAGACCTATCTGTGCTTACTGGCGGATCCCAGTTCAAAGGGTCTCTCCTTCTACTTTGCAGAATATGAAGAGCTAAAAAAGCTGTTACCTGAGATGGTGAGGTTTGAACCCACGTGGGAGGAGCTGGAGCTCTACAAGGATGGAGGCATCGCGATCATTGACCAGTGGATCTGCTCACATGCCAGGTGACTGCCCGCTTCGCACTGTCAGCCAGGAGGGCATCTCGGACTTTCAAAAGGGATGGGCCTGTGTGTACACAGTGGTCATTGCCGTATTGTTTGCCTCCTCGCCTGCGGCTCCTGGAACGCCTGACTCCGTGTTTCCTGGGCTGAAGTTCACTATTCATCTCCCTCCATTAGTTCTCACGCACAGACTTCCTCCGTAGCAGGCTGTCGGCATCGCTTCGTCTCAGAGCCTCGTCGTCTTGGCTCTTGTTTTCCCATCATTCCCAGCTTCTGCTCCTGTCTGCCCCCTACCTGGGAGTTGCCTGGGCCCTGGGCTTGGGCGCATCCTTGGTGCTGTGTGTGTTGAAGGGCGTCCACGAGTGTCCTCAAGGCTGGAAGCGCAGGCCCTCCCGCGATCATTCTCATGGGGTTGCTGCGGGAGGGGGCCTGGGCCTCTTCCTCCATAGGCCTGTCTGCCGGTCCACACAGGAGACCAAGGTTGGGATTACGATGGAACATTTCGAGTGAAATGGAAAACAAAAGGGGAGGAAACGATTCTCCCTGCGGTCACAGAGCTTTCCGATGCCTGTGGTCCTATGCGTGTGCATGGTCTGTGTGGATTCACCTCCCTCTCCCCGTGCGTGTGCGTGGTCTGTGTGGGTTCTCCTCCCTCTCTCCTGTGCATGTGTGTGGTCTGTGTGGGTACTCCTCCCTCTCCCCTGTGCGTGTGTGTGGTCTGTGTGTATGCGTGGTCTGTGAGGGTTCTCCCTCTCCCCTGTGCATGTGCGTGGTCTGTGCGTATGCGTGGTCTGTGTGGGTTCTCCTCCCTCTCCCCTGTGCGTGTGCGTGGTCTGTGTGGGTTCTCCTCTCTCTCCCCTGTGCCTGTGCGTGGTCTGTGTGGGTTCTCCTCCCTCTCTCCTGTGCCTGTGCGTGGTCTGTGTGGGTTCTCCTCCCTCTCTCCTGTGCGTGTGCGTGGTCTGTGCGTGTGTGTGGTCTGTGTGGGTTCTCCTGCCTCTCCCCTGTGCGTGTGTGTGGTCTGTGTGGGTTCTCCTGCCTCTCCCCTGTGCGTGTGCGTGGTCTGTGTGGGTTCTCCTGCCTCCTGTGTCAGTGCCTCTCCACACGTCTGGTGTTGCCTGTTGTGTTCTGGGTGTTGCGTGTGAGACCCACAGTGGCTCTGGGTGATTCTGTCTGCGGCGGAGTCAGATCCTTTCCGTGTTAAGCAGACCAGATGCCGTGCTGACTTCTGTGGTCCTGGTGGAGGTGTGCAGGAGCTGGTCGTGAGCTGGCCCGAGTCTCCAGTGTGGCCTTGGGATTCTGACTGTGAGCTTGGCCCTGCTGTCTCCTCAGCCCAGGAGGTCTGCTGTGGGGAGGTGTCACACCAGGCTCTCAGCCCCCTCCCCTCAGTTGCAGGAGGTGTGTGCCCGCTGACTTTGAGCTTCTCCGCCTCCGGACCGGCGCCGCCCACTCTGGCAGCCCCTCTGCATGGGGTGGTGAGGTCTCCCCACCAGCGCGGCACCCCACGCAGCAGCAGCCAGGTCTGTGCAGCCTCCTGGCCTGTGGCTCCGTGTACAGCGCTGTGCACATCATGTTTGCTGTGGAAACATCTCTGAGGATTGCTTGTTGATAAAGTGCTGCTGGAGAGGGGATTGAGAGGAATGGGCAGGCTGCTGACCCAGAGGTCAAGAGGACCCCTGGAGAAGGGTGTCCCCACCAGCTCATGCAGCCTGTACGTGGAGGGGCCTGGACCTCCGTGATTTCTGCTGTGTCTCAGCATAAGGACCCCTGTGCCTTGGCTATACAGTGTCTTGATTAGTGGGAATCTCTAGGAGACATTCGACCTGCACCGTGCGGGCCTGGCATTTGGTGACGAGGATGGCTCCCAGGGGGCGTGTGGCAGGACAAGAGCGTGGCGGCCGCCGACCATGAGGGCAGCAGGGGAGGGGGCTGCAGCACCAGGAAGAGCCCCTCAGAGCGCAGATGTTGAGGCCACCTGAGCGAGGTGTGCCAGCACAGCGGCGGCCGGCTGACGTGTGCGGTTCCTGGGGGGGGGGGGGGGCGGCCGCCCGGGGGGGGGGGGGGGGGGGGGGGGGGGGGGGGGGGGGGGGGGGGGGGGGGGGGGGGGGGGGGGGGGGGGGGGGGGGGGGCGGCCGGCCGTCGTGTGCGGTTCCTATGGCGGGCGGCCGGCTGGCGTGTGTGTTGCTGGGTTGGGGGGTGGGCAGCTGGCCCATGCGGTCGCTTGGGTGTGGCCATGTTGGTTCCGTGGAACCCACTCATGTTGCTCACCTGCTTCTCTCAATTCTGTGTAACTCGGGAACCTCTGTGATCCTTTGCAGGTTTTTTATCGGGACCTCAGTCTCAACATTTTCTTTCCGGATTCATGAGGAAAGAGAAATCCTGGGGTTGGACCCCAGGACAACGTACAACAGATTCTGCGGAGACCAAGAGAAGGCGTGTGAGCAGCCCACGCACTGGAAGATCACCTACTGAGACAGCGCCGCTCCTGGCCCAGCTGACGCGGGTGGGCGCACGCTCTGCCATCGTGGAGTCAGCCTCTACTGCCCAGCCAGGCCCAGCGGAGGCCCCACCCTTGGGGTATGACGCATCTAGAGTCGCGTTTTGTCCCCGGCGTTCCTGGCCACCGTCGGCTTATGAAGAGGCTCCGCTGCCTTCAGGGCGGTGGTTGTGTTTGCAGGCGGTGTCTGAACCCACAGCTCAGTTGTGTGTCCAGAAGCAGGGAGTGTGTCAGACTCCAGCTCGGGGCCTTTCCAGCCGCCTTTCATGGCTTCATATTTTAAGTGAGTTGAGCTGCCTCCATTGGGTGGACGTGGGGCTGACGTTTCCCTGGGAGCCGGTGCAAGGAACAGCGTCATTTTAAATTCTGTGGGAGCAGCCGGGGCCTTACGAACCTCCTGTGCCCTCTATGCAGCAGGAGGCTGCCTGCGAGTGTGTTTTCTCCCAGGATGCGTGAAAGGCAGACCTGGTGCTGCACAGGGAGCGGCCTGAGGCCTCAGGGAGCCCCATGGAGTGATGACAGTTCAGGCCCCACTGTTGGCACGTCAGCGTGCTGGGAAGTTCTTCAGTGATGCCTTGGGGCAGACACTCAATGGATTGTCTGTAGGAAATTATGGCTCTGCCCTCCTCACACCAGGGCTGGCTGGCTGCCCGTCCTCACCCAGCCACCCACCCTCGCCCTGACTGGCAGATGCATGTGGGCCCTCCGGACTCTTGAGAACTGGAAATGAGGAAGGACGGTCACACCGACTCCAAAAGGCTGTCTAGGATGAGCTGCCTTATCAGGGAGCTTGTTGTACCCATTTTACAGAAATCATTTTTAGGTCTTTATGCTACAACCACAAGGGGCACCTGCAAAAAGGGCAGTGCTGGACACAGAATGGAGGGAGGAGCAGCAGTGCCTCGGGGGTCCTCAGGGTCAGGGGGCCCCCCCCCACACCCCTTTGGCCCATTGCTCTTTGCGACCTTCCCTCCATGGTGTTGTGTGACCCTCCATCACGCTAGTGGGGCCTGAGCCTGCCACTTTCCACATCTGCTAGAGGAACAGTGACACAGATGTGTGTGACAGGGAGGACAGTGAGTGAGGAGGGACAGACGGCTCTTTTCTTCGGAGCCTGGCTAGTCTAGGACATCACCTTGCTGTGTCTTCTCAAGCTTTTAACATTGACCCTGAACTTGTGGCAGGGTTCTGTGGTGTTACTCAGAGCTGTGCAGGGTCAGTGGTGACATATTTATTCTTTTTCCATTTGTTCTAAAAACAGTGCCTTTTTCATCAGTTGAATTATCTCCAGGCTGAGAGCTGTATAAACCAGTTTGGACTGACCACGTACCTTCCTTTTTAAGAAAAATAAACTGCTTTATGGTAGTTGGTAGCTGTGGAGTGTAGACTCTTTTCCTGCCACCCAGCGGAAAATGGAAGAATCCTTTCAGATGTCCCAGAACGCAGATGGCGACCAGGCGTGGGGGAGCAGGGTAGGGGCGCTCCTGCTGGCCTGAGTGCTGCAGCATCTACGTCAGGACACTCCTTCTGCCAGAACCCCTGGGCCCCCAGTGTGGTCGGGGTCTGCTCAAGGCGCCCTGCAAGACTCGTCGCCACGGACAGCAGCCAGCCCTCTGTTCATTAGCCTGCGGGAGGCCTCTTTAGGGAGGGAATCCCACAGTTGTAAAACATTTGAAAACTTCCAGCGTTTTAGGCACATAGGAGATGGCTGTATGGCCTTTGTGGTGGGAAAACACCAGCCAGTGAGAAGATTGTGTGCTAGGCGCCGGTGAATGCTGCATGCCTAGAGTGGAGAAAGCAGCCTGGAGGAGGGGGGAGGTTGGGAGGGACTTGGGAAGGGGAGGGGCTGGAGCATGCAACACCAGGAACTGAGTGCAGAGGCCCGGGGCGCACACTGCCAAGGCAGAGAGAAGCTGGTGTGACAGATGGAGCCGCTGGGCCAGGGGTGTATTGGGAGGTGTGTGGGCAGGAGGTCCACTGTGGGTCCCGAGCAGGGCATGCTGTGGCCACTGTGCAGAGAACAGCTTGGAAGCCAGAGGCTGGTGAGGAGGCCCTTGCTGTGTCAGACAGTGGTCATGAATGTTGAAAGAAAACCTTAGTCTGGATGCAAGTGCTGTAATCCCAGCACTTTGGGAGGCAGAGGCAGTCAGATTACTTTGGGTCAGGAGTTTGAGACCAGCCCAGCCACATGGTGAAACCTCATCTCTACTTAAAAAAATACAGAAATTAGCCTAGCGGGCTTGGTGGTACACGTCTAATCCCAGCTACTCGGGAGGCTGAGGCAGGACAATCACTTGAACCTGGGAGGCAGAGGATGCCGTGAGCTGATTGTGCCACTGCATTCCAGCCTGGGCAACAGTGTGAGACTCTGTCTCAAAAAAACTTTTTAAAAATTTCAGGGTTTATTTGAACAAAGAACAGTTCATGAATTGGGCAGCACTCAGAACCTGGAGAGATTCAGTGAGCTCTACTCAGAGACATGAGCAGGCAGCACTTACAGACAGAACATGGTCGTGAGGCAAGGAACAGCCTGATTGGCTACAGCTGGTCGCCTGCTCCATGTGGGTGTGGTCTGTTCCACTGGCAGCTTGCGATTGGCTGAGACTCAGCTACTTGTTACAAGAACAGATTCATTAGGTTGAGTTTGTTTGCATGCTTAGTTAGGTTGCAGTTCACTAGGTAGAAATTCAAAGAATGGGGGCAGCTTTAGGCCAAATTTAATTTAACTAGAGGCCCAGAGTGCCAGCAGTATCTCTGGAAGGAGTTGCTGGGTCTGAACATCAGGAAGTTGGGGCTGGGAGTCCAGGTGGACTCCAAGGGGTTGTCTTAGCTGCTGTAGGGATGATGGAACCCACTCCCTTTTTTTTTTTTTTTTTTTGGAGACAGAGTTTCACTCTTGCTACCCAGGCTGG